AATGCTCTACCATTCTTACCAATAATTTCTTTGTTCTCTCTATTTTATTATATTTTGCAATTCAACATACATATGATCCATGCACAGGCGTTGTCCTCCTATGGATATATTATATTTATTTACTCGTTTCATGTTCCCTGTATTTTAGAGTAAATAAATATTATTATCAAGTCGACATTGCCAAAAATTTGAAGCTGAAGTGTAAAGCAGCTTGGGCAATATTGAACAAATATAAACAAAAAGGTATCTTGGAATCCTCTAAGAGAAGTGGTCAGCCTAGAAAACCAAATGCTATATCAGTTAGATTAATAAAAGTGATTTTGTCCAAAGATCTCTTTAACACCCCAAGACTAATAAAAGCCGAAATCAAGACAAAAGTAATTGTCAGTGTTTCTACGAAAACTATAAGTAGAAGATTTAATGTTTTGAAGTTATTTGCACGTCGCCCGAGTAAGAAGCTGCTAATCTCGTGGAAAAACTGTAAGGACCGATTACAGTTTGCACGGTTGCATCTTGACTGGAGCATCTGTGACTGGAAGAGGGTATGTTTTAGTGATGAATCTAAGTTCAATATGTTTGGATCAGATGGTGTTCATTATGTTAGAGGTCCTAGTGGACAAAGATTGAACCCCAAGTACACCGTGTCCACTGTCAAACATGGAGGTGGGTCTGTTATGGCTTGGGGGTGCTTTTCGGGGTTTGGGATGGGACCTTTCCATAGAATAGATGGCACTATGGATAAGTTTGTATACACAGACATACTAAGATCAATCTTTCAGCAAGATAATGACCCGCAGCACATTTTAAATCTCTCAAAGAAATTCTTTCTGGATGAAAACATACCAGTTCTCAAATGGCCTTCACAGTCTCCCGATATAAACCCCATTGAAAATCTATAGGAATATATACTTAGATAAGCAAATACGAGATAAAAATTATTCAAACAAGGATGAACTTTTTGCCGCTTTAGAGCAAAAGTGGAGACAGGTTGATGAATCTTCTAGAAACTTCTACAATCTATGCCGAGATGATTCCAGGTGGTGATTGATAATAATGGTTATGCCTACAAAATATTAACACAAACATGGTTAGTTTTCTATAATTCAAACAACTTTGCTTCTTTTTTCTATAATTGTTTTGCTTTGTCTATATATTTTTGTCTTTCATAGTTCCAGTTTTTTTCAATTAATTTTTTATTGAAGGGAGTCTAATGAATTTATTTATGTATAAGTGAGCATTATGCTATAATGAATTATGTATACAGATTGGTGTATTAATAAAACAAGTTAAAAAAGATATACAGCACAATAATAATTTGTCTATATACTTTTGTCCATTACTGTATATGTGGTTTTGATTTGGCCAGACAAGCATAGGGGATTTCAAGAGAAGATTTCCTGCAAATTGCTCCATATACAAGTCATCCAGAAAATGATTAGAAAAACACTGCAATACCTCAATCATCAATGCTAGCTAATAATCTTACTTTACATGAGATTTCTTATAATGGTTCTTGTAGAAGTCGAAGAGAGAGAAAAAATTGTAAGCGATGGATCATGATGAATCGCGGTTATTCCTTGGTTATGCCCTTGATTATTCTGATTCAGAACAGAGAGCATAGAACAGGATTGCTGTTTTGTGATATCAATACTGCACCTAATTACTTTTTAAATTCTGCAGAAAAAAACAATGCATGAAAATGCAGAAACTCAGTAGTTCTAAGCTTATTGACATCTGATATCGTTTTTTTTTCACTGATAACTATTTACGAAAAATTATATCTCAGATGACACAAAACAAACACAAATTGCACAAAACAATAAGAAAGGATTATGTTATATCCCTGGGGGTTCAGAATCGCATAGAACCCACCACCTGTGCCAGGTTTTTATTGGTCTTAACTGTCAGTAACGGTGGCATCATCAGCTGTTACAAAGCGCGTCAAAACCAAACACGACCTGTTATTATTGGTAGAATGCTTGAAATTGCTTAATAACATATTTTTAACAAATTCAAAATTGGATCTTACTTAATTTTCATTAATTCAAATCATCATCCAAATGAGAGTCAAAATGGTCATAAGGCAGTATCAAACCAGCTTCCGACTAAGAGGAGTCAGTCTATGCTCTACTTGGTTATATCCATTTTTACCAGAAGCATTTGAAGTTACAGTTCTAAGCAAATCCATATTTGGGTAATCCCGAAAAAGTAAGAAAATAAAAAATATTGCTGACATAATCTCCATCCAAACCAACCCATCCGCATGTCATCAAAAATAAACAAAGCAAAGACCCGCGCCCCCTTTAGTGCTTGCATCAAAAGTAAACTGATCCTTACTATATTTATTACCTCGTCATAGGCGGAGGTGGATATGTAGTCAAAAGTTTTTATTTCTTTTAAGAAGTACAAAGTGTATGTATAATTCAAAAAGAGATTGAAATTAATTCATTCAAGAAGTGCGACAATCGAACTCCATTTTTGTTCATAACATGTTACATCCTTTGTAAGACTGATCATCTTATGATTGGATCTATCATATTTCCCATTAATTTTTGCCATTAAAAATAGATTTTAAAGGAATTTTGTTAAGAACAATAATGCATGCAGCACTGTATCTCAGGTGTTGGTACCAGCTGCAAAACAACAACAGTTATTATAAAATCAATGATATGAAGAGAGACGGAATATATAAAAGGTATACATAATTGCAAAACACGGCGCGGCGGCAGGCGAGTAAGCATAAGCCCATAACCTACATACATTCTTTAACATTCCACAACCGCTCATTGGAAATATCCGAATACGTTTGTGGTAAACATGAACAGTTGTGCGTTCTTCTGATGATAGGACACTAGCTGGTGAATGGTGCATCTTATTAATTACGTGTGGTTCATGGATTTTGTTGCAGATGAGTTTTATTATAATCCCCCTTGCTTGTCTGGCCAATAAAACATTTATTGACATATCTTCTTTACTGTAGTAACAATCAAGTGCAAAGGCGGTCTTCAGTACAATGACATACAGGGTATTCTGAAAGTTGAGACTTTCCTTTTCAGAGTTTGCAATACCAAAGCAACCAAAACAATATCGAAAACGTAAAAATGAAATGGAAGAAAAAACACACTATTCATTTGGTAATTTGCAACATTTGAGGCTATCTTGTCTTCAATTGTGCTCAACCAGACGGGTTTTGCACGATGTAAACAAACATTATGCAGTTCTGATGGAATGAAACATCGAGGATGACATAGACGTTCTAGGATCTTGCAGATGCTCATATCAAATCGATAACATCGTTATTGCTCTAGGAACGTGCCAATTTCGCTTTTTTAAATGCGGTTTGTTTATAAACTAGGTTAACCTAGACACCACGCGACGCCTGATTTGCATACTGACTCAGATAGTCTTAGTAGATCAACATCATACGTGTTGATGTAGCATAGGGTTGTGGGAGGAGCAGGAGGCAGGGTTATACTGGCTCATTTATTGCTTTTTGGAACCTAATATCCCGGTTATCTTAAAGTTTTGGTATATATGTTACCAAAAAAACATACTTATTATTACCTGACCTATACGCTCTGTAAAGGAAAGTTCGAATTTTTTAGGTGGATAAATACAGTATTGGAGAAAAAAATATCTTGAATTGTCCTTCCATTTAGCGTTATAAGTTCCCATGTTACTTTACGCCTTAGATACATGAGTATGTCCACGGGCTTCTCTACGCTCAATGGTGATAAAGTAACCTGAATGTCCGCTTTAAATTGCGCATAAAGGAAGTTATGCTGCTGCACCCTGTAGACCGACAAAGGACGAATAGTAGTGGATTTGTTACCTTTAGTTGCGTTAACCAGACTTTAATAAGATCTATTTGCGTGAAATTGAAGGTTTGAAATTGTTTTCACAGCTAGGTGGCTAGAGCAACATTCGAACCTCGGCCTGTCTGAAGATCTGCTATCATTCACATCGAAAATTGTATTCTTGTTTGAATATAACGTTTAATTATATTTGTACATCATCATACATCACACTATTCGAGTGGTTTGATAACATACTCCATAAATAAAATTATCACGATTATCAATTAGGTATTTCTGTAAATTTGCGATAAGGATGGTGTATTTAAATGAATCGGGGAAAACCAGGCGAAATAAAGATAAAATGGCAAAAGACTGTCAAGGTCCTGGACAGTAAATTCAAATTGCAGTAATTAGTCCTTGTGTGGTTTTCCTTTAATTTTCGATCCAACTTTAAATGTATCATTAATGAATATTGAATGTATTTCTGAAGCCGTGACTCACGGTAGTGCAGGATACACTTAACTTATGCTTCCATTATTTTTTGCATTATATTCACATCTTGTTGCATCCTCTATGAAACTGAATATTCCAAAAAGGAACGGATCTCTTCATTTACAGAGGATTTGTTCAGGTCTGAATCCCTTTCGGCCTACTGGTCTTCAGGGAAGACCACAAATTCATGGTCAATTTCCTTGGCTCCTGATGGTACTGTGACTTTGTCACGACAATTAGTAGTTGTCTGTGATTTAAAGATTTATCAGCAATGAAATGATAACCAACAAAATAGCGCAGCAAGTGGGAACAGCAAGGTGTAGTCACACGCAGCTAATGGAAACTTTTAACTTGCGATATTGGAATCTGTATCAAGTACAACAAATGTTATTTTGCCGAATTACATCAATAGGACTTTTGAAGCTGACAATGCTACCATAATTTATATTTATCTTGGTGTACGAATACGAGCCCCTTCCCACTTCAGTTGGCCCACTGCAAGATTTCAACCTACTTGATGCGATCTTTTAGAGAGTCTGGTAAAAAGCTTATATGCTGGGACTTTGCTCATCACATCCGCAATTCTGTGATTTACAGGTTTGTGTATCTCTGAACAAAATTCATGTCGATTTTAAGGAATTATTGTTTTGATCAGTTTTTGTAAATTGACCAGTATAAACGAAATGACTCATATCGGTTTCGTTTGTTGCAGTAGCCGGTGGTGAGGCCCGCCAAACGGATGCCGCCGTTGGTGGAGCAGCACCACCGACTAGTGGGGCTCATGGAGCACGATGGACGGCATCTTCATCACCAGCAGCAGCGACGGCAATCGGGTGCTTCCACCACGGCTACGGACACTGGTCTCCCTCTGACCACAACCAACAGTATCGGCAGTGGTACCACCATCACCATTACCAGTGCCACCAATCCCAGCGAACCGGGCACCGACAGCGATTCGGGCGGAGGCGGGTACTATCAGGTATGTCAGGATTGTTGTTTAATTATATCAAAATGTTAAAAATATGTAATATGGAAGTAGTGTAAAGTATAATTCATTCGTTTCGCAATAGTGTGAAGCAGATTGGATTAGGGGAAAGAAGGGCAATATTCACAGTAATGCAATAGTTACTTTGGCAATGGACATTTTTTATTCATTTTATTGCAGTAATCTCTTTTCTTTCTTATTTCCAATTTTTTTGTTTATACAAATACAATGATTTTTTCCATTAAACCCTAATTTTTGATATATCCAAATGTCTTGTTTATAAAATATAAAAAGTTTTAATGAAGCAGCGAAATTTTTTGCGATTTTGTATGATCCTTCAGACCTGAAACTTGAAGTCGGTAGTTAGTTAGAAACACGCTTCCAGAATCAAATGATGCGGGCATATCGACATTGTTACATTCGACATTAGTGCCGCTTGAGTAAAATACAGAAGCACATTGTTCTCTTTATTGAAATGACACAGCACAAAGTGCCATCTATTACCAGAACCGACCAGAGCGAAAGTGAAAACAACAAGTTGTCTATTGGAATTGTATCCAAGTTCGCATTCTCACCCGGGTGACCGTTAGATGCCGCTGATTGTGGTGGTCGGACAAACGCAAGCTATATTACTATATTTGTAGTCACCGTTCTCGACGAGTCAAAGTAAGACTACCAGTATCCCTTTATATATCTCCATCTCCCTCTTACAAACACATGCAACCTTCCCCTGTGCGTGAACGTTTGTTCGGTAAGCTCAAAGACATACGTTTTTTAGTTGTGTGTCTTCGTCTCGAAAACTTTATCGTTACGTATGAGTGCCCTTCAATCATATTTGTCAGAGTTGCAACTTACTTGACATCGGTGTGCAATTCGAGTTGTCCTGTTATCAATCTTCAATATAAAATTGTACAATGCCCGGAAGTACGATCAGAACGCCGACAGAGCTCGTGCTAAATTTATCAGTATTTCCAGGAAGAGAGTGAAAACAGCGCACTTCATGTGTACTGGAGAGAGTAGCAGATGCGCTTAAGATTAGTCTGCGCAGTGTTCCTCCATGGTACGGAGACTCGATCTGTTTACTTATTTCATATGGCGTTGATGACGTAACCGCCAAGAACGTTGACTACAGCTATAGTATATTCTTTTCTTATTTCAGGAGCAGACGTATGCGGCATTACGCAACTCCTTAATGGGCGGTCCCTATGAGCCTCATAGGGTGGTGACGAATTATCTTCGCACCGCTCTCTACGACTATGATGCTCAAGGGGAAGACGAGCTATCCCTCAGGAAGGGGCAGATCGTTGAGGTGTTGTCTGAGGATGCCAAGATCAGCGGGGACGAAGGATGGTGGACGGGGAAGATCGGAGACAAGGTGAGACGTCAATTACAATTGCATTTTATTTCCTGTATTAACTATAATAATTAAACATGGAGGTGAATGCTGTATTTAGTAGATGGTTTGGATGTGTCAAGTGATGCCAGGAGCAGAATGCTCTAGAACTGTTTCAGAGATCGCGAATGATTTATAAAAGTACGGGTGCACAGAGCCGCATTTCTGCCCATATCACACGCATCGTACTGTTGCGACGCGTTTTTTATAAACAAGAGGAAATGATGGCGATTCCTCTTTCCTTTTTTTGTCTTAATTAATACATAAATAAAATGCTATAAATAAAATCTAAGGGTCAGCCAATGCGAAACAGCTCTGTAGTAACGTTCAAATTTAGGTCCTAGCTCAATAAAGCGGATAATAGGGGTGGGGGGGTGTGTTAAGAGCGCCAGTGACTGACGGATTAAGCCACAAATCTCCGAGATGTTAATCGGAACTTGTTTTGCCTGACCACCCACACAAAAGATAAGAATCTCACAGTAAAGATAAAACCTAATTAATTGTAGACAAAGAGCAAAATAAAACAAGAAATTTAAAAAAGAATCACAATATATTATCAAAACAAGCAGCACATATGCGCCAGCACTGGAGTTCAAGTTGAAAGAAAAGATATTATTCAAAACTACCTGACAAAACTATAAGGCCGTGATAATTAACCCTGCAAAACGTTTACCATGGTACATGTACGAAGGTTTTACAAATATTTTAACGCCTAAACCTAAACTTATCTGGACAGTGGTCCTCTTCCAGTTATGGCCCTAGGTGCAGCTGAGATGTCCTTAGCTCACAAATGCTCAGTTCAAAAAACATTGCAGTGGGCAGTGATATGAGGAACGTCACAATGTAGGGGCTGCTTGCCTCGTTCCCAAAATGTACGGTATAAAAACCCTAGAGAGAGAAATACTGCTTAAAAATCTACTCTCTATTCTCCGTTTGAGACAAAACTACTCATTTAAAACTAACAAAACTGGAAAAAAAAATCATGTTTATTTACTTTTACAAGAAAAGTAAAGCAAAGGCAAGATAAGATAAAAATGTGCTAAAATGAAAGTTATCCCTTGTTGTAAATTAAAGATATGACTGCTCAAAAATCAAAATCATGATCAATGCGATGTAATGCCCAACAGAAGGTGCCCTGTAGGTACTGAATATGTAAAATGCCAAACAAAATCAAGAAGACTCTAAGCATTTCAGTCAGCAATAATTAATATCAATATCCAAAGAATACCCAATTAAAAAATTTTACATGTTCAAATCAGGTTTGGCAATGGGAAGGGGTCGCTTCCAGCAAAATCGGCTGTAAACAGCTACGAGGCAGCATCCAAAACAAAGCTCGAGTAGTGTGAATGGTGGTTCTCCACAATGCCTTCCTACTAAAAGGAAGCAGGTATTGAACAAACTTCTTCAGGACATGCATTAATGGACGTGGTCTGATGGTATACAAAAAAGAACTTACCGCAGAAGGTTAAAATCCCATTAGAAAATGGGCGGGGTAGCACCCAAACCAACAACTAAACGTAAGGTACAAAATAAAAGGATGCTACTCCATAAACTGGTATTTGGGGCGTAATATCCCAGAATCTGCAAGTAAAACAAACGACCCACACCATCACCTCAACAGGAAAATAAATGACACAGAACACCTAACTTTTTAAAAGAAGCTTTAATGAGTGGCCTTGAAGAAGGTATGTTCGATAAGAAACTGAATATTCCTGTACATACAGAAATCACAGAGTGGCGCTGGTTGCCAATGAGCGGAACCAAGTCTACGAGGGACCAAGGATATTTTAGAAGGAAATTTCTGAGATAGTCGTTAGTAATACTATAGTGATAGTGTCCAAACGATTTCAACGCAATACTGTGTCGCTGAGAATGAAAGATATAATACATGTGAAATTATGCAATCAATAAACTGTGAAATTTGCCGAAAGAAAATCATTAAAAAGGGTTTGGCCTAAGAATCGGCACCATACCATACATGAATTAATAAATAAATCAGGCACTAACAGTATTAAATACAGATGAAAAACAATGGAAAAGCGTCACAAAAGAGTATTAGCTTATGCCAACATTTCCATGGCTCAATATATACATCTTAACTTCTGGTTAAAATTTATTTACTGCCAAAGCCTAGGCTTATACTGTCAAACCCAATAAGGAGGGCTGTTCGAACACCGATCCAGAATCGATACTAAACAGATTCGACACAATTAAAAAATGTGTACGCTCAAAATAAAACCATTATTTGGGCGTAGAGAATGAACTAACGCTTATTTTCAACATGCATCTTAATCCAAGGAACTGGTGTAACATATTCTCAACGCATCAGATTGCCGCTTCAGCGTTGTTAGGCAACGCGGTGATGAGCTTCGCTATCCAGTCGGCTTTTATCTCTTTCTAAGATATGTGTCTATACACTCGTCTCTCTCGTACACATTGAACTCAAGCCGTCGGACAAATTTGGTCTCAGTGAATCTGCATATAGCACATGCAGCACCATCTTGGAAGCACTAACTTTTTTAAAGTAGACTTCTAATTGCAGAGAGGAGAAACATAGCGGTGACAAATTCTGATAGTTGACGCCGTGGTATCACATTCCATCTTGGAATAGGTTAATCAATGTTTGATGTTGGCAATTTGGGGACGAAATCGACAACCTAACCAAAACATGTTGTCAAATGAATCGTGAAAGCTTTTATTTTGTTACTTTCAAAGATAGTTGTTTGTGGAAAGGAACGTCCCAACTTTTAGGTTACCCTGTACAAATAAGATTTCTCGAAAGGGCAAAACTGTTCCGATGCGTGTCGATAACGCCTATAAGTATACTGTCGTACAGGTTATGGACATAATTTTCAAAAAATCCTATTGCAAATGGCCACCGCGTCGGATACTGTAACGCATTACAAAAAATTAATTTGTTTGGTACGTACCTTTAGAAAGAAAACGAGGATGGCTCTCGTTAAAAATGACCTATTAAGTTAGGCTGCCCAAAAACACAATTTGAGGAACAATTATCGTTGGGTTTATATTTCCAGAGTTCTATGGGGTATTCGACTTACAATTAATTTAAATTCACCTCGTAAAAACACTCCTTGTTTACACATTCGTTATGAGTACTTATGTGTGTATATACACAAGTTAAATAATTCCAACCATTATATAATTATTTATGTATATTAGTTTGTGGAAAAATAATTCAATTTCTTCGTAATTCCGTCTCGACCGAGACCTCAAATAAATATAAAGGTTATTATACCTTCATTTTATTTCACATTTACTTTTTCCTTCTCTGATATACCGCTTAGCATTTTGGAGTAATAAAACTGTACGGTATATACGAGTATATCATATCTAAAATTATTTTACGACTATTACACCTTGTTTTTGCGAATGTTTAATGAAACTCACTACCTGTTGCGTTCTTTAATAACGTGACCAAATAAAAAGCGGAAAGCAGGTTAAATGTTGCCGTATGAAGGGTGGGTAAAACATGTTTTTTTTTTCATTTTTCAAGTGATGAATCTGCATCTTAATTTAAACGATAACACCTTGCATACATATGGATGCAAAGATCGTGAAAATAAACATCGATATCGAAAAAACATTTTTGAGTATTTCTAAAAAGAAATAAGCCCCCTGGTGATAGAATTTATTACCTTCTTTGTTTCGATTTTGCGCAGTAGCAGGACAAACCTTCCTTACACGTTATCGTGGTAGAAAGCTCCTTTAGCTAAATAGAAAAGGGTAAGGTTATTTTTGCTTTATTCAGCACTGTTGCCGGAATTTGTAAAGCTGAGTAAGCTTAATTAAAATAATTTCAAGTTAAAAAAACATATTGGTTAAAATATAATGGAAATATGAGATCAAGAACATAGATAAAAATAAATGCAAGAAATAGGCAATAATGTAACATCTCAAGGTCATCCTGTGGTTTACATGTCGATAATCCCCCATGTTTGCCCGATAAAACCACATGTACTGTCAGATCTTCTTTACTGTAGTCAACCTTTTGATCACAACGGTGATCTTCAGTACAATGACATATGTCGTCACTACAGTTAAGAAGATCTGTCAATACATGTGGTTTTATTGGATAGACAAGCATGGGGAAATAAGCAGTGGTCTAAATAAATTGAATTATCCTCATTTTTATTTTGTGGTCACTTGTCGTTCTCTGGTTCTTTGATTCCAAATCTATTTATTTCTATTCCCGTATGGTCTCAAACATTAACCAAACTTTTCAATGAAAAAATTTAATTTTGGCCTTAGCTTCACGGGAAAATCGAAAAAGAAGCAAGTCATAAAAACTCTTGTTTACCCAACCATCCTTATTTGTTATCGCTTAACGATTCGTTATTTTTGTTACACTAATATCGAACATCTCAACAAGATGATCGATTCTTTGAAAACATTGAAATATAACATCTATAAAATGACATCGAAGTATCGTTTGCATACGCTAAAAGCAGCATTCACGGCTTATTTTCTGTATGAAGTATTTCTCCAATTTTGAATTGAATGCATCCTGCCTTGAAAAAAGCCTAAAGCATGTTTCTCAATGGCTCGATTTTTTTGTTACATGATGTCAAAGTTTTTAGTTTTGGGGCCGTATCGCCATTCGTTCCTGTAATAATTGTAGGTTGCCTTTATGGCCTCCTTGATTTACATAGTATTTTCTCTCTTCCAGAAAGGCTGGGGTATTTCTAGATTTCTACTATTCCGTGTAAGCGACAACGTTCTCCTATTGTGAAGTTGTTTTCTTTGTGAATTGTTGAACATTTCGGGCTGATACTACAGACGATTTAAATTAAAAGCATGAACAATTTGATGCAAATAGATATTTGTAACATAACCTCAAAATATAGCGCGTAATAGTAGAAAACTACGAAAATCAAGGAGGCCATAAAGGCGTCGTATAATTCTAGGACCTTAGTGTGTACCAATAGGACATATTTTGCATAAATAAAGTCAGCACAGTAAAGCCATAACGTCTTTGTTGAATACCAAGAGCACTGCAATTTTTTATTCATATAAAACCACTATTCATCTTCTGAACAATTCTAACCCATTGTTTCAGGTTGGAATTTTCCCATCGAACTTCGTTTCCCCTGGAGGTCCCATCGGAGACCTCCTGGTCGAGGCAGGTCACCATTACAAACACCATAACGACCTCCTGTTAACCTCGGAGGTCAATAGTATCATTGCCGATATAAACCCGGTGAAAATAGACTTTTCCTCTTTAGAGTTAGAAGAAGTGATAGGTGTTGGCGGTTTTGGAAAAGTGTATAGAGGACTGTGGGAAGGACGGGAGGTCGCTGTCAAGGCGGCACGGCAGGATCCAGATGCTGATCCTGAGGGCACGCTAGAAAACGTCATCAAGGTAGGATAATATTTAAAATTGCTCTTAGTGCATTTCGGCGGGCTTAGAGGCAGTCAATTCAAATGGAAATAACAAATTTTCCATTTTTTCTGTAAGCTGCATTGACAGTTGTATCAAGTATTTGAAACTACATTTGTTATTTGTTATTGCAGATAATCATTATAGTCCAACCATTTAGTGTTCAAAAGGTCAGCCTAGAAATTTTTGGTGAATGTAGATATCCGTAAGATTTCCACGAATGTCCTCTTTCTTACCTCGTATCTTTTCCGCTAGCGCTGCCATACTAGTATTGGAAATATTGCGTCCAAAAGCAGCTTTCATACTATTCATCGGTTCCGGCATTTTTCTACAGTAATAAAAGTTATATGACAAACTAGAAAACAATTCTACAATTTATTTAGCATTTTTTTATAGAATGGTGTATGGGTACGCCAAAGTTTACTCTTAATACGAGAACTGTTCATTGATTCAATGATTAGGTAGAACTGTTCTGTTTTGAAAATTGCTTTTATAAATTCCCATAAATTATTTTCGAATGCCTACTTCTCAATCTCGGGTTCTTGCGGCTTGCGCTACGATATTAGGAAGGTAAGGGTCAAAAAAGTATTTAACGTTTTCGGATTGATAGATTCAGCGCGAGGGGGAGAAATAAATTTGAACTTATATTCTAACATGCACGAAGAAGCTGATTATAAAAAAGTTTTTTGAACAATATTTTTCTTCCTTGTCATTGTTCCATCACTATAGTCAATCAAGATTTAAATTAAATTCGTGATGATATTCGATGGAATATTAAATTTATTAGTTAAACAATCAGTGCTGTGTGCTGTAAACCTACATAGTATCTGCACTACATCTACTGCAGCATGCAAAAGTCTTGTCATTTTGATATAATAAATATACTCGATTTAGAATGTTTATAGAAAACTGCATTTCTGGTTTCATAGTGACTTGGAAGACACATATTTTTAAGGATCCCTACTTCGAAAATGAGCATTTCTGAATGTAATATGTTGGAACAATTTATATTTATACTTACATAAATTGTAGGTTTTTTCTGTAGTTTAATTTGCCATAAAACTATCTCGGAGAAAGCATACTAAAAGCAACGAAAAATATTCCTAAAAACATTTTAGTTGATCTGATCGAAGTGCGGATGGGTGTGTTCCGGACCCCCCTGGGGGAAACGGCTTGGTGGAATGTTAGAACATGTTAAATAAACACGATTCGCATTAAAATAATTTGGGCGTAAACCAATTTTTTTGCAATATAATTTTTTTAGTGAGGACGGCTTGTAAACCCACCCTAACCCTAAAAAAAGTATGTTCCGGACCCCGCTCGAGCAAACGACTGCCTGGTTCTATTAGAACACATTAAATTGACCAGATATCCGTGAAAAATTTTGGGCGTAAAGCGATTTTGAAAAATGACAGGTGTCTGATCGAAGTGCGGATGGGGGTGTTCCGGACCCCCTGGGGGAAACGTCTTGGTGGAATGTTAGGACATATTAAATAAACACGATTCGCACAAAAAAATTGGGCGTAAGCCAATTTTTTTGAAATATAATTTTTTAGTGCGTACGCCATGTAAACCCACCCTAGCCCTAAAAAAGTATGTTCCGGACCCCGCTCGAGCAAACGACTACCATGAGCTATTAGAACACATTAAGTTGACCAGATATACGTGAAAAAATCTTGGGCGTAAAGTGATTTTCAACAATTACGGGTTTCCGATCTGATTCAACATAGTAATTTTTTATATCTATATATTTTTTTGGAGGCAAACCACCAGATAACGGCATGTCCACTCAAGGGCACTTGAGGTATATTTGTCTTATGCGATTAACGCAGAAACCGTATTTTTCTATTGTAATTTTCACGAAATAATAGCTTTTTCGCGTTACTCACAACTTTGGGGATGTTTTTGGGGAAGGGGGGCTAGACTTTAATGACACATAAAAACACATAAAGTAAACAATATTACGTGAAAACCTCATTGATTTACGCACAGTTAAAGCCAAACAACGTCGTTGTATGTTGCAATGACAAATTTTGTGCACTGCTGCCTTTGTAACGTTTCGGTCCCGCACGATCGATCGGTTCTTCAGCCACATGAAACTATCAATCATTGAGTCCATGAACAGTAAACTATTAATTATTCTCTCGTTTAGTTTTTGTCGTAGAAAGAGTCCAAAGAGAGATATTGTAATAACTGTTTTGGGGGCTATTTTTCCAAGAGATACGAGATAGCAAAAAAAATCGTAAAGGACTCGTCGAACTCTATAGCGATATAAATTTTCCCAAAATTTTTCCGATGAGAAAATTGAGTTATGTCCACAGATTACGGTTTCTTTTATCATGAAAAATGGTACATTACATACCTTGACGTAGAAGTCTGTCACTATTGGCACTTTTATATCATTCGGGACATAACGTGCGAGCCCCCCGAGGTATGTATGTACGTAGAATGTTTTTCATTAGTAATGATGATATATTAGCATACTTGATTTGGTTAATCTCTAAAATATAGCATATCTGAGAATTTTCTGAGGGTCGGCAACACTGTCCGAATAAAGATCACGAAATGTCTGAATCACAAAACGGTGCGTGGCAGAGGGACGCTGCTGCTATATGATAGAGTCCGAAAAAGACGTACGTTGACACATCATCCGCTTCTCATTCATTTTCAAATGCTAAAAATTATAAAGTAGCACGGGACAAAATAATGAGACAATTAAATTCAGAGCGGAAGTGGGTGAAAAATCTGTCGATCTCCGTCTACCAACTGTTTGCCAAGCTGATTTTCACCCTTATCCAATATGATAAAGATGACTGAAGACCCCTACGTCTCTGGCTCATCACTGCTCGACGTTCTAAGCAATGCACATATAGATGTCGCACTACCATAATGCACTGATCAGTTGCTACTTACCGCGAAACAGCGCTGTCTTCGGTTGGTCATGATGACAGAGAGGGAATGCAAACATCCATTTCAACCAAATAAATACAACCAACACCATACCTGCCAACAAAATTTGTCAGCTCTCACATATACATACTGCTATTAAGCTGTAGAAACGTTGCCTATCGAGTTCACTCACTACTCTATAAAGAATTTCAAAAAAGTTTGAAGCAATTTACTCTGATTATATCGCCCAGTAAGTAGACCATGGCCATGAATAGGAACCTGTTACAGGTTTTTCTTTTTTGGTTTAGATTAGAAAATTTACATAAATATTTATCTTGGGTTAAGTTGAAAAACGTTTTTTTAGTGACACTGCGCCTTTTTATACTTTTTATAAATAAAACCGGATTGCTATTATTGTTTTAGTTATAACATGTACTCTGTATTGATTTATAGTGAATAGTAATTATTAGAGATGTTCAAAAATTAGTAAAGGATTTAAAAGAGAGACAATACTGTGACCAACAAGCCAAAGAAGTTCTCCATAAAACAATGGCGATTTCTCATAAAAAAGTATTTGGTCTTTTTTCAGGAAGCAAAACTTTTCTGCCTGTTGGACCACGAGAACATCGTGTCGCTGGTAGGCGTCTGCCTGACGCAACCTAACCTGTGCCTGGTGTTGGAGTACTGTAGGGGCGGGCCCCTTAACAGGCTCCTGGCAGGGGCAAGGAAAATCAGGCCCAACGTGTTGGTAGACTGGGCCATCCAAATAGCCAGAGGCATGGACTACCTGCACTGTCGGGCGCCCATTTCGCTCATACATAGGGACCTGAAGAGCTCAAACGGTGAGTTTGATGACGCAGCTTCTAAAATTATACATTTGTTTCTTTTGATTCTAAGATACAGGGTGTTTCAGAACGACGTGCCAATAGGATAGAAAGTACATAAAAAATAACAAAAAAAGCCCGTATAAGTAACTAATTTATATACTTCTATTCAAAATAAATTTCTTTGAAATGCATCATATGATAGCAATTTTGTGGATCGAGATAGAAGCATTGTAAAAAATAATTGCGTTGTAGGTGAAGCATTTACGAAAGAATGATGTCCTGTGGAGGGGCATTGTGAGTGTTTCAGTGAATCGAATGTCCCTAGAATGGATATTGCTTCTTGATATCAGCTTATTTCTCAAAAACGGCGGAATGGATCATAGCAGAAGCCGATGGTTGTAGGTAACTAAGTGTAGCTCACACAGTTCATTTACTCTCAACCACTTCATGTCTTTGAAAGAAGGGCTGACTGATATGATCATATTTTTTCAAATTATTGATCAACCTACAACATGAGTTTTGGATTTTTTGGAGACGTGCTAGAGATATTGGGTCAAGAAATAGAAGATAAACTAAATCGCAATAACTAATTTTGGGCACTACCAAAGATTCACGCAAAGCCCAGAAATTGTTTATTGAGATATAATTGACGTATAATTGAAAAACAACTCTTACTGATATTATTTACATGTGGTATAAAATTTAGACATTCATCTAAAGTTACGCCCAAGCTTTTCACTGACTCACTTACTTCTACAGTCTCACCATTTAATTTTCTTTAAAATATATTTCTAAGTAGAATCTATTTGAATATTACTATTTTTTGCAAAACTAGTAGAATATTAGTAACATAGCTTTCACATGTCCGACAATGAGAGCTATATAAATAGTTTGTTCAATGGCGAGTAGACCGTATCCGTATCTAAACAGAAAATATGCGGCAACAGTCCAAGAAGTGGCTACACTGACGCATAAAGGTAGTCGACACATATGCAGTGTTTGAAAAGTTTCGGAACCCCATGATAATCTGTGAACTAATAATGATAGGAAAAACTAACTTGACCTTAACCATGACATTCAAGGACATTTGAAGGTCAATTCGATTTTTTTTAAATGGAACCCCCCATTTTGACCCCGCAAATGAAAAGAGCGGAAAATCTTACATCCAAATATAGTCTTGACTATTCTCAAATTTTGACCTTAGGAGGTCATGGTCAAGGTCCAACCCAGGTACGGTGATATAACTTGACAGCCAGTAGTCGTACAGGGAAGCTATCGAGACATCATTTTCGTGATTTTCCCCTAATATGGTGACCTTCGATCTGACTTTCAAGGTCATTTGAGGACAACTATTTTTTAATGGGCCCTATACTTTTGGTTGCGGAAATGGAAAAAAGCGAACCTTTTATGTTCGAATGTGCCCTTGACCATTTTTGTAACTTGAGATTGGACGTGACCATCAAGGTCAAATACAAGTTTGCCTTAGTTTCGTGATAACTCAGAACACTGTGTAATCCCCAGATAAACTGACTGCACTGTTATTTCAGGATTATTGAATAAATGAAATGAAAAGAATTTGTAAATGGTATCACCTTAATTTTTAACAATCTTCTATAGCTAGCTTTAAGCTTATTTTATTGTAACTTATCTGTTACTTTTGGAAAAAATAAAATCTATCCATCTATCTGGCTGCAAAAATCGACTTGAAATTTACATGACCTTTAAAGTCATCCTGGTTTACGGTCAGATCCGGGGAAAAATTATAAAAATAATGTCTCTGTAGTTTTTCTAAACAACTACTGGTTTTTAAGTTATATCATCGTACCTGGGTTTGACTTTGATCACGACCTCCTAGGGTCATAATTTAAGAATTGTCAAGATCATATTTGAACGTAAAATTTTCCGCTTTTTTCACTTACGGGGTCAAATGGGGGATTCTACTCAAAGAACTCGACTTAACCTTTAAATGATCTTGAAGGTCATGGTCAAGATCAAATCCAATAGATAGCTGGGGAAAACTATCAATCGCGGGGCTTAGCTTTTTAGACACCCTGTATAGTTGCACTAGGTAGAAGGAGCAAGCTTACGATTTGTTTGTTGCCTAAATTACGTTTAGTTGACATTTTACATTAAATTCGTACTTTTCTGTCAAAACATTGAACTCCGTGGGTTCCATTCAAGTCAGTATTCCAAAAAGTTGTCGAGAATTGTAAAGGTTTCTGTGGATTGGAAAGAGCATTTTGAACGTAATAAGAGCGGTACGTCCAAAAAAAACTATGAATATCAAATTGATTGAAATACTTCCAAAATTTATTGGATATAGTGACAACGATATTATAAATAGCAGGAATATTATGCTCAACTGAGTATTTGCATTTAGCCAAGAATCTGATCGGATCTATTCAGAAAGACCGAGTAGAATAAATCCAAGGTGCAAGATTTCCAATATGAGAGAATGCTTCGTATTGTTCACCTTCCAAAATGACGAATTGAGAAGAAAAGTGTGCACTGAAACTAAACAATTTTGGCGATAAACAATGCAATGTAAACATATAGGCTTAGCCCCTTCTATTGGAATTCGTTGGTTGGAACTGTAAAGATCTCAGTTCGCGTTTGATAGCCTATTCACCACTGTGGCCGCTAGAGGCTTGCGATGCTGGTTTGAGAGAGAACTCCTCTAAACAAAAATATTTTTCTAAGTACCAGAGCACCGATGATATAGTAGTTCTATGTAGATTGGAGGATAAGGTCTGTTATGATAAGAAAATAAAAGTGCCCGTCTTGATCCGAATTGGAAATAATATTCGATATACCCCAGGTCGATTTCTCCACTCATGGGGCTTTATGTGCTTGGGGTACCTCAACTAAGGAGTTCCAAAACTTTGAGAATAAATACTCCTCGGGGGGTTGATATGAGCGAAGTTTTGTGAGCGACCGGTACAGGTTAGCGAAGTTTTTTCGGGTGGGGGAGAGAGAGTGATGAAGAGGGCATTAAGTGAACCCCGAAGGAAGGGGAGAAGATATTATTGACGATTGATATTGGATTTTTTCTGTTATAGGCCAATCGAAATACACAATCAAAAAGCGTAGACTGTCTTTTTGTAGAGAATTTAATGTGCTACGAGTAAGGTTTTTTGGAAGCTTAGTGGTTCTTGATCAAAGAGTGAGAGTTTAGAATTCATATCAAAACAGTAGCGCGCCATATTCCACACGCGAGAAAAGTAAATTTAAAAGTTTGAAGACTCCTAGACTCATTGTATATATCAAATATCTGACGGAGTACCATAGATTTTGATATTCATGGTTGCCCAAAAGTGAAAGCAGACCAAACATTTTTTTAATGGAATATCCTTTTTATTTGGGTATTTTGAGGTTCCCCTTATGATTTTAAACATGTTTTATGTGTTAGCGTCCATGCCTGGATTCAACTTTTTTGAGATATTGAGGTTAGAAATGAGCCTTTCGTCATATACGGTACGCTGAACAATCTAAGGGCTGATTAACTAGCAAAATGCCTATTGTAGGTTATACGATCTGTTTTAATATGAGACCTGCCTTAACAGGAAATATCTTACACAGGGCGTAGAACATGTGATTTTCTAACCTCAATAGTACAAACACAGAATTATTTCTAATTATTTTTTTAATTGGAACAGAACTCACAATGAACCCAGAAAAGCTTAATTCAAAAGAATATAGAACAAACAAAACCAAATTAATGGTAACTGCTTAAAATGATTACTTAACGTTTATTTCTTTCGTCGTGGATTGATGTATGATAAATGGTATACAGGGTGTTCCATAATTATTGCGACAAAATGATAGGGGTTGTAGAGGGCATCAAAATGAACAATTTTGCCTTATAAACCCCTGTTCGGAAATATGCCGTTTGGGATGCAGCAAAAAAAAAGATCAGTTTCTTGAAACAGCTTACCTACAGTAATTGCTCAAAGTATCCTCCACCTTGCTCAATACACAGCTGTGCACGATTGTTCAATGATCGGCGAACTCTGTGGCATACCCCCGGTATGTCCTGAGCATGTGCGGACGCGGCCATCACTCTTCCCAGTAGCTCTTGTTGGTTGGGAACAGTAGTTTCGTACACTAAAGCTTTCAGATTGCCCCAGAGAAAATAATCCAGTGGGGTCAGGTCGGGTGACCGCGCAGGCCAAGGCACAGGGCCACCTCGGCCTATCCACCTATTTGTCGTCCAAATACTGCCGCACTTGTAAAGAAAAGTGGGCTGGAGCGCCATCGTGTTGAAACCACGTGTTGGCTCTTATGTTCAGTGGCACATTTTCTAATAGTTCCGGTAGCACATGCTGTAAGAATCGACCATAAGCATGCCCATCCAAACGTGGTGGAAGCAAATATGGCTCGATGATATGCTCGTCCACAATGCCGCACCAGATGTTAATTGAAAACTGTTGGTCTCTATGGATGGCTATGGCATGAGGGTTTTCTTCATCCCAAATGTGACTGTTACGGCTATTAAAATAAACGTCCTTTGTGAAACAGGACTCGTCAGTGAACAAAACGTAGCGACCAAAGTTTGGTTGCCTCAACTCCTGCTGCAGCCACCAACGACAAAAACGTCGACGCGGCAGATAGTTTTCTGGACCCATGTCTTGGACTTTTAAAAGGTGGTATGGGTGTAGTTGCTGGTCATGGAGAACCCGCCAAGCATTAGTTTGAGACGCTCCCATTTCATGTGCAATAGCACGCACGCTTGTACGCGGATTGGCCTCTAGTTTGACGCACCACTCAGATAAATTAAATGAATCGGTGTGGAGAATTTACGATAACAAAAATGTAAACACAGCAGGCTTTTTTTTACAAATCGGCGAGACCATGAAATGTGCTAGACGAACATTTTGCAGCTGTTGAATTTTTTGTTTCTCTTAAGGTAAAATTAGCGGTAGTGCTCAAACGGCATATTTACGAACAGGGGTTTATAAGGCAAAATTGCATATTTTTATGCCCTCTACAACCCCTATCATTTTGTCGCAATAATTATGGAACACCCTGTATATAACGTATAACTACGAATTGTCATTGTTTTTGCATGTTTCCGATACCTCACGGGATTGTACTGCGTTAAGACTACATGTT